CAAGATTTCGATTTCAGTGACAAAACAACCTCGAAACTGGGCCAAAAAGTGGGTAAAGGTGTGCATTGGTAAGTCACATCGAATTAGGGAGACCCACCCCCGGTGGGCGGGGCGTTCTCCAAAAAAGCAGTGCTTTATGAAAAATTTCATAACTCGGTTGGGAGAAAGCCTACAGAGCAGAAAACAATTCGGTGTAAGGGAGCAATGTCTAAGGTGTTCCCGCATACATGGCGTGGCGGAGCGCGCCTAAATGTGTCCAAGCGTTTTCCTGCAGTTCTCATTGATTCGGGCCGCGGAGTCTGTATTGAGGCCGGAAACAGGAGGACAAGTGGACTAAGACGAAAGCCCTAACTGCAACCTTGGTGGCGGAATTCATACTCAGTTCCAAGAGCCCCAAAGACCGCAAAACCCAGGTGCTTAGAGGTGGGTGAGGGAGTGAGGCCACCAATTGTCAATCGGGTGGCTGGGCTCCGTCTCCCACAGAGAGCGGAAGTTGTCCACCTGAGAATTCTTTATCGCACGAAAATTCATATTTTCGTTCCAACACAGGACGTCCTGGAGACCGGGCAAGAAGGCTGACTTGAATCCGTCAACGGCAGTGAGGTCAAACTGCCTAACCGTGGGTGACTCTAATGTTATTTCCGCACAGGAGTCCAGGAGAGCGGGGTCGAGTCGACGACAACGCGGCGAGAAGACCTCCTTTGGTGGACGGGCGCACGACCGGTAAAGTCGGGCGGAGTTTGCAATGCCAAATTCATGCACTGCGGTCCCAACAAGTCCAGGAGACTGCGAGCATGAGTTGGGCAGATAGGGAAGGAAGTGTAATGCCCTAATGGTCGGGGGCGATAGGATACACTAAATAACAGGATTCGCCGCCAAAATTATAAATCGGCTCAGAGATAGTTCAGAGATCGGGTAAAAAGTGGGAAGAGGTTGGCGAGGAAGAAAAAGATAGGTCGGACATGCAAAGAAATAGGCGGATTTGCCCCGAAATTCATATATAACCAGTTGGCGCCGCACGCATTGCGCGCACAACACAGATCTGCGGCGAATTTTGATGGTGCGACGAAAATTTTCAAATTTGGCTTGATACACCACGAATATCTGAATTCTCAGCTAAATTCTATCCGCTCCATCATCGACGGCTTTCAACCTCTTTTTCTTCGTCAACCATTATCCTCTTTTCCCGGTCTCCGGACTTCTGGAGCCGAGTTGTGAATTTTCAGGGGTAAACCTCCGCCCACATTTAGCATGCCCCGCCCACCGATGACAGCTGGGCTCCAACTCTTACACCCACCTCCACCTACCTTTTTTCGGTGCCTCCGGGACTTCTTGAAGCCGAGTTATGAATTTTCGTCGCACACGGTATCGCCCACTTTGAACATGCCCCGCCCCTAATAGCTATTTAAGCTCCACTCCTCCACCCACCTCCACCCACCTTTTTCCCGGCCTCCGGGACTTCTTGGAGCCGAGTTATGAATTTTCGTCGCAAACTCCGCCCACTTTGGTCAAGCCCGCCCACCATTGACAGCTGGCCTCCACTCCTCCACCCACCTCCACCCACCTTTTTCCCGGCCTCCGGGACTTCTTGGAGCCGAGTTATGAATTTTCGTCGCAAACTCCGCCCACTTTGTCAAGCCCCGCCCACCAATTGAGGGCTGGCCTCCACTCCTCCACCCACCTCCACCCACCTTTTTTCCCGGCCTCCGGGACTTCTTGGAGCCAAGTTATGATTTTCGTCGCAAACTCCGCCCACTTTGGTCAAGCCCCGCCCACCGATGACAGCTGGCCTCCACTCTTTCACCCATCTCCTTATATTTTTTTTTTTTTTTTCATCTCTCTATTCTTCACCCTTTTTACCGCGCTCTTTAAGACTCTCCCCGGCCCGCAATTAATGTAGCGACCTTCATAAGACAGGTGCTGTACCTTCAAGCAGCGCGCCCCTCGCGAACCTGAGGCCGCGGCCTCCCGATCATCCGTCATGTATGCAGCGAAACCCTTACGACATTGCTCTCCTCAACACCAAATTGTTTTCTGCTCTGTAGGCTTTCTCCCAACCAAGTTATGAAGTTTTTCATAAAGCACTGCTTTTTTAGAGAACGCCCCGCCCACCGGGGGTGGGTCTCCCTAATTCGATGTGACTTACCAATGCACACCTTTACCCACACTTTTTGGCCCAGTTTCGAGGTCGTTTTGTCACTGAAATCGAAATCTTGGTCTTCGGTACAGTTCATGTCGACGCACGCGTCACGCCCACCGACCTCTTGTGGGTGGGGCTGATGTGTGTTTTGTATTTCGTGAGACCTTGCCCACCCATTCCACACTTGACCCGGTCCCTCCAGGCGGATCCCGAGGAGCTAGGGAATTTCGTGACAGACACACAGACAGACGACAGACGAAGCGCTTTATAGTTAGTAGGCGCCATCGATCCAGAGGGAGTCCGACGAAGACGAGAGACAATTTGTTGACGAAGGGAACAAATTGGCCGCGATCACAAGAAGGGAAGCTCAAAGGCCATCCGGTGGATGAGGCACGTGACATTGAATCGAATTAGAGCACTAAACGTCAAAACATCGATTCTAAGCGTATTGGGCCAACTTCGAGAATTTACGCCGCACCACTCCCCTCCTCATCCGCTCGCAAAACTCGTGGCTGCTGCGCGCAACGCGTGCGGCTCCCACGGGTAAAAGTATAAAGCGCTTGCCGCTGATCAATCCCTTCTTGGGATGTGACTCTACTTCGCCTATACAATGATTTGCAGGAACCAGCCGATGTCTACAAGTCAGTGTTTTTTTTTTTATCTTCTCAGACAAGTCTACTAGCAATTAACCGACCCCGGAGGGATGGAAGGCTTGGTTGACCCGGGCGACCCACGACCCAGGATTTGATCCCTGGAGCGTGCGCGTGGTAAGTGCACCGCTACACCATTGCTGCCTTCATCAGTTGATATCAATTGAGATTGTCGTTTTTTTTTCGCGGAGAGCTCGGAAAAGCGCTGAGTATCAATGACTCTAGACTCGATTCCCGCACTCCGTAGAAAATGCGCACCCGCGACCACGCAACTTATGCACCCAGCAGTAGACTAGAACTGGATACCGCTTCTACCATATAGGTGGCCAATCAGCTCCTTCTCCTCCCCCTCCCCCCAACCGACTTTTTCATGGTGAATCGTTCGCACATACAGATTCAACAAAAGCATATCACACAATTCCCATTGCACTGCACACCCACAAATTCATGTGAACCATATTAGTATTATAGAATGATATCTGTACACTCTAATAATTATGCGATCACAGTAACTCATCAGGGCTAAAACTTGGCGAGCAAAAACAACGATATAACGCTATGTGATACAATATTATGTCATCAATGGGCACCAAAATCGTGTACTTGTGAGAGATTTGTGGGCAAGAACATTATTATGGACAAGAATGAGAGCACGAGTACAAACCAGATTATGAATAATGCACCAAAATCATGGGCAAGAATGAAATCATTGAAAACATGAAAAACTATGGAAACAAGAATTCAGCGAACGTAAAGGTCACGTTTATGTAACACCAAAAAGATATGTCTATTTCGAAAATTGATTAAAAAAACTTAAAAATCACCACCATCCGCTGAACTTCTTGCCACGCTAAATCAACATCCAAAATTCAGCTCAACTATGAAAAATGACTTGGAACACCTAACATGAACACACAAATAGCAATTTAGACCATGTTTTTCTTTTACTAAAAATCGTGGTTAGGAACTTGACACTACGAAGAGAAACACAATAATTGTTGAAAATCGTCGATCAAGAAAGCGCCAATACAGTAAATGTGAGAAAGCTTGCAGCATTAGAAAGCATGAAATGCATAAGTAGCGAGAAACGGCAACTGCCCAGGATTATCGCAATTTTTTCACCTCAAGCACATAGGTGGATTTGATGAATGCAAGAAAAAATTGCCATTTCACCCTCAACTGCCCAATCTTCAGAAAATGGGCTAGATTTTTCTCGACGTGTATTCCAGCGATCGTTTGCGCCGCAAACATGGATATCACGCCTCAGGTGCGGAAGCCCTTAAAGCCCGCACCACATGCACCAGCGCCAAAACAACTACGACCACAAAATCCGCCATTGCGAACTCCACTTCAAGCACAAGCATAACAGTTTAGCTCAAGACGCTCAAAACTCCCTCACGGATAGACGTTCAGATTCTACGAGTCAAATAACACCAGGGACGACGTTCGAGGGAAAATATAACCCACCTTCCGAAAAAGCAAGCAGAAAGGGGTAAACTGAATTTCTTGGCAAATTGCCAAGTAGTGTTGCAGCCGCCGAAAATCGCCATTAGCGAAACATATAAATATTGCTTCCACTTCTTCATTCTGTTTTACTTCTTTTAGTTCATCGAGTTATGCTTGAGCAAACCTTGGAGTGTGCAATTCTGTGACCAAGTAAACTTCTCCCTATGTTCTCTGACGCGCATGACTACACGAGCCCGGATACGGATGTGGCTTTTGGTGACTCAGCTCCGAACAGTGTAAGACGGGAAGGTCAAGTACCTAAGCTCAAGCCCAGGAGGGGTGCGCAGGGTGGGTAACCAAATACATGTAGCAGAAGGTGGAGTGCGTGAAACAACAGTAGTCATGACACGACTTACAGGCGAGTGTAGACGGTTGCAGCACATATGCTGTGTGCTAGCCTTAACCAGGGAGACGCACCATCTCCCTTGACAATTACCTCCCTGAGCTCGCTTAGCACGGTCATGGCTTTAAAGGTGGGCTTTGAGAATGAGACAAAAACTGGCCAATCCCGAAAAACCAACTCGAAGCTAAGAAAGTCTTCAATTACTAAAGAATGGAATCGGAGAAAAAAAAGCTACTCATTTTGGAAGGATATCTCCCCTCTCGCAACATTTCCAATATTTGACCACAGTTCCACTTCGAAGGCAAGTGAAAGCATTGATGTGGCAAGATTGACTGGCTAAACCACGTCAACCGACGTTACCTCATGAAAAGAGCCGAGCGAGCTGATCTTTAGCGGCGATGTTCTCGCGTTTGCTTGCCATACACCTCGAATAATCTTCCTCCACAAGATCCGAATCACATGACTTTTTGATGATATCTGTAAAACGTGCTATGATAGCAGTATCCAGCAAAGTTGAAAATGAATTAAAACCCATCACCGCAAATCCTTAAATAAATCGTGCGAATCGCACTTATGGAAGTACCCTGAACCAAGGCCTAAGAAATAGCCCACAAAGTCAGAGGCATAATTTAACCCGCGACGGGGAAAGGACAGCGGCAACAGCCCACCATACATTGGTCGAATTTGTTCCTCACCAACTCCTCTTGAAATTTTTCTGACGCAATTTTCGGCGAAAAACCCACCTTATTCTCAAGGTTGGCTCCACAGCGCGCAGTATGTGAACTTCATCCTGATTCATAAACGCAGTGATCAAATCCAATCTCTTTCCAGCTAGTTTTGGTCGCATGACAACATAGTCGGATCCCATAGACAGCCATGCAAGAAAAATCGAGCGAATCGAAACGACCATGGTCCTGAAAAGCAAAAACGAGAATGATTTTGAAATGTTTGCTTAAGATTTGCAAATGTTGAAACTATAATGTATGCTATACGAAGTTATTACGAATAGGTTGGTCATTGAAAAGCAAAAATGCAATGAAGATCTCAGTCATTGCCTAATTCTGGAGAAATTCAAGGGTACAGGATCCTAATCAACCAAGAAAACCATATTTCATGATAAAGCGCAACCAGAATTAGACTGTCAGGCCCAGAAGACCTAGATTTTTCAACCCGCACTCAATACTTAACAAATAAAGAACATGAACTTTGCATTACTTTGCTATATTTCCCTGCACTGAAACTATGGTTTCTATGTAATCTTTCAAAAATTCACTCATTTTTGACATGACAAGAGTGAACATCTGAGAAGAAGATTATTTGCAAAAGATGGACAAACAACCAGGCAAACAGAACAAAAATTAATTATCACAAAAAAGGATAATCACTTCACCTTTTGAACAATAAGCGGACGCTTCCGTCTTGGCGGTGACGAGTCACGCAGCCTAGTCAGCGCTGCATCTCGCGCTTCCTTCTGATCAGCTGGCACTAATCATCCACTTTTAGCACTATGAAAACAGTTTAAGACTACTTGTTTTCTCAATGGTGCCTGCTCATGGCTAGAGCAGCGACCGAATCAGTAAGCGGGTGAGTTGCCCTAGGACTAGCCTGGGAGAGAGGACCCCACGAAGAACTCAGAGGCGTTTTAGGCTGAGTTCAAGTAGTACCGTCGGACCTCTTGGATCACAATGCACCCCATATGGTTCGGTTTGTCGACATGGATATCACACATGCGTCTACAGCTGACACCCCCATTTTTTTGTTACTTTCCTTTGATTTGCTATGCTACGCTGGTGCTATTCTAAGATTAGGACTAGAGAAGAGCGAATAAACGAAGAAAGGCCGTGACCTCAAGGATGGCTTCACCTCCCAATCTATGAAAAAGCGACAAATAAATCCATGTTGCTAATAAAACTCGGTTACACTATGTGTTAAACTCGTTACCGACTGGATCCCTCGGGACGTCAAACGAACACCTGGACGACCGCCGGCCCGATGGTCAGACTTCTTCACGAAAGCTCTGAACGAAAGGAATGAAGGACATCGTGTCCCTCGAGCGAGGAGGGTCCACTGGACAACTCTTGCACGCGACAGGGACGAATGGAGACGTTGCTGGCGCCCGCTCGAGCAATTCGATGATCAACGGGACGACAGGTGATACAGGTGATAACCTATGCTGTCGCCACTTGTCAAACTCCTGTCCCCAAACCTAAATAACGGCCTACGCATCGCGAATTGACCACGTTGGTGAGGCAAATTTCAAGACGCAGCAAGTCGCTCTCGTACGCAATTCGTAAAACATGCATTGTCACCATTGTGTAAAATAACCCCAAGAAAGCGAAAAATTGAGAAAACAACTTACTTCATTCTCGTCTACATCCATTCCTGATATCGTAGGATGATACTCAACAAAAGGAATTGGGAAGAACACCTTAAAATCCCATTTTTCATCATTCCAAGATACACAAAGGCACTAGAGAAAAGAAACAAACTTACTTGATAGTGCTTTATTGTGTTGATACGAGCTCGGTCGAGGAATTCTTTTTGCACATCAGCGTGTGGTGACAATAGTAGAAATATCGAGCCACTACCGTACCGATCAATAGCTTCGTCGAGAGCAGCGCTTCCTCCACGTACATCTGCTGATTTTACTTCCCGTGGAGCTTTTTCGCCAGAAGAATCTTGCAGCTGTAACATGTCCGACTCCAATCCAGATCGCTTGCATCTGAAGTCTTTATAGAATAAAATCTTGATCGCGATATCAAAACAAATAGAGAGACAAATAAGACATTCGACATTGTCTACAGAGTCAAGGAAGCGTAGCGGAATCCTTAGAGAAGCTTATATTTGATCCGCCTCGGAAGACGTCGCATCAGAGCCTTATTGATGATTTCTTACAGGTTTTAAACATATCAGTGACAATATCACCTGAATAAGACGACATCTGAGGCTTTACCTTTGGTACAGATCCCAATGTTTCACTTATGGTTAGAGTATATTAACCCGGAATACGCGGTAATAGTAATAATATTCGAGGTGGCCATGGTCTGATACAGCTTTTACAGGTGCACTGAAGAGTACTTCAAACTGCTTATTTCAGGTAAGGGTTGTTTTCGGAGGAATTAAACTGTTTTTGATTACACTTAGCTAACGTATATTCCAAAAATTTGCATATCAGGAGTGTGGCAAAACCCGTGAGAAAATTCAGTTAATTTGTTCAGCACATAATAACAGATATAAAAGGGTATTAGGATAAAGGATAAAGCATTTGCCGTTGATCAATCCCTTTTTGGGATGCGGCACGCATTCTACTTCCATTTGTACATTCGTAGTGGCGTTTGAATGCGATGTGGCCTATACAATGACTTGCGGGGGCCAGCCGATGTACAAGTCAGTGTTTTTATCCTCCCAGACAAGTCTGGTACCAATTAACCGACCCCGGAGGGATGGAAGGGCCCGAAAAGCGTGTTACGACATTAACCTCGCGGCGGAGTTTTTCTGGTAGTTTGTTGGCTATGCGGCGACTTCACTGGTTAATCTCAGGATTTGATCCTGCCGACCTGCCTTCGCGTGTAAGCAGTGTCCACTGTTGCTCAATGACACTGTCACCTCCGTTTGGCCCCTCAAGAGGCGCTTTCATGCTCGGCATTGACGTCACGAGTTGGATCAATAATGAAAGCATTAATGTACATTATCCCGGGGCGGAAGGTTGTGTACGTGGACCGTGGCACGCTTACCACGCGATGCGGCGCGCGTGGGATACCACACCCCCGGCGTCCGCTCCCTGCACCGTCGCTGCCGTGACCACTAGCAAGAGCTCTTGCCCTCGCCCGTGTCCCCCCCCACTGCCTCGGTCTTTAATCTTGTACCTTAGACAGTGGGAGCGATAACAAACACACTGACTTGTACATCGGCTGGCCCCCGCAAGTCATTGTATAGGCCACATCGCATTCAAATGCCACTACGAATGTACAAATGGAAGTAGAATGCGTGCCGCATCCCAAACGGGATTGATCAACGGCAAATGCTTTATCCTTTATCCTTTATCGATGCGGTAGGGTAAACGGCAAAAGGCGTTGGTGCTTTATCGGCTGCACGGAGTTGAATCAATCTCAACTTATTGCCAATCCCGATAGCAATATTGACACCGCCAATGCTTATACCAGATCACCCCATCACTTGTACTGTGACCCCTTTCCACGAATTTATTCTCCACTTTATTTTGGAACCGTTCGCGTACTAATAATGAAAAGTAATTCTCTCTCTACAATTCCCTAGCGAATGCCTACATGGTGCATTTTCCATTTCATAAAAACCACCATCTACATCCTTCCATAAAGAAGTGATCACAGATCTCAAGAGCATGAGTAAAGTGCCATCCGACAAAGCAACCTCAACAATAACGAAAGCACATAACTTCTTTTCAAAACTCTCTCCGAAGTCATTGCTATAATTGTAGCCGATCGAGAGCAATACCTGGTAAACAGTGCACAGTACAATACCCGAGTCTGAATTAACTAGGTCCGCATCCTGGTAGAAAAAGCTGCTCAATTACACGGAATTTTCATCTAACCTTTCTTGTTTCTTCAGCTGGTGCGGTACAGAGCCTTGCATGCCTTGCCAGAAGTCTTCGTGCCGGCAGCACTTCCGACTCATCACTCACTGGTACAACAATCGTCATATCTGTATCCTCCTTCACGTATGGAACCTATAAGGCACTCTTCCATAACTTACGTTAGCAAAATAGGAGTCCATAGTGAAAGGATTGACGAATTTCAGCTGACGAAAGAAAAATGGGGTTAAAGAAGCGGAAAGGTGTAAATACATAAAATGCTCACTTGATTCATAAGTTGTGTACCTGCAACCATACGGCACAAGTGCACACGACGCTCCTACGGTAACTTGGGTAGCACCATCTTTGTACACCAGATCGACCATGTAATCCATGCCACGCTGAGGATCGAACAACCTAAACTTTGTGTAGGTTTGAAGATCGAAACCACTAACGGGCGTCAGGCAAACATTCCACGACGGAGAGCCACGTATTTCATATCAAGTATTACCTATAACCGTTCCGGACTTGAAGAAACTCCAAATCCGGCTCTTCCAATTCTACATGTTGCCTAGCTGCAGCGACCACCTATAAGAACCATCGACGTTTAAACGTATGGAAGAAACAAAACTCCTACCTCTAGTACATCGTCGCGATCTTTGCCTTCGAGTGGACGAACGTTCTGGTTGGGTTCACTTCGAAAGATATCTTTCAGCGTAAAAAAAGTCCCATGTGGGAACCTGAAGAACTCGTGGCTAATGTTTGTTCAGCAGTTTTCCTCATGCAAAATCGTTTTTTATTAAACTTTTGCAGAGCCACAATGAGAACGAAAGAAAAATACAAAAGCAAAAAAATGAAACAAAAAATGATAGATAAGCGAAGAAAACGAAGGTATAAGTGATAAAACCCTTGCACTGATTCTATACATCTGGAGCATATGCTTTATAGAAAAGAAACCAAGCCCTTTGATGAATTCTGTTCCAGTTATTGTGTTAAGATAAGAAAACGTGGCAAAATGTCCGCCAAGTCCGCAGACCGAACAGTGATGCAGGAAAAACAAACTTCAAAGAAAGGGGCGAAAATGAATTCGAACCTGGTAACGATTAGGAGGTTTACTGTACGGAGGAACGGCTGCTGGCCACGTGGGGCCTTCTTCCGTGTC